TGGAGGCAACTTTAATTAAAAACACATATGCAGGCCAGGCGTGGTGGCTCACGCCTATAATTCCAGCACTTTGGGAGGCGGAGGCAGGAGGATCGTTTGAGGTCAGGAGTTCGTGACCAGCCTGGCCAACATGGTGAAATCCTGTCTCAACTAAAAAAATTAAAAATTAGCCGGATATAGTGGTGTGTGCCTGTAATCCCAGCTACTCGGGAGAATCATTTGAACCCAGGAGGTAGAGGTTGCAGTGAGCCAAGATCGCATCACTGCACTCCAGCCTGGGCGACAGAGTGAGACCCCATCTCAAAAAAACAAAACAAAACAAAAAACCACATATGTAAACTAGGTAGCTTAAAAATAAGTCAGAAAGAGATCAGAAACTGTAGAGAGGAAGTGGGAGAAAGTTCTGCCCAGAACCTAAGGTGAGATACTAGGTAATAAATATAATTCTGAGCCTCTCATCTTGCTTTTTTCACCTTCCTATATATGTGACTCTACTGGAGTTGCATTTCTCTTGGATCTTTCCAAAGAAGTCATGAAAAATGTCCCCAGGAGTCCCAGCTTGAGTCTGGATCATCATTTGCCAGCTTTCCGAGCCTAGAGACAGAGCACAGGCTTCTCTGCTCTGTTGCTCTCTCCTCTCCCAGAAAGGTCACTACTCACTTCCCATGTTTGCTCTTGACCCCAGAACCGGTGAAAGCCCTTGCCCTGATCTCAGCTCCCATGATGGGCCTCCAGTGGCATGGGGGCCTCTGTGAGTAGACTGCAATGAACCAGGAGGCCCAATGCTGTGCCAGAAACTGGGTCCTAAGAACAGGCCCACAGCTGGTGTCCACACCTGGCCCACGTCCCCTGGCCAGCCTTCTTCCACCTGCTCTATTAAGAAGAAACATATCCCCTGTGGCTAAAGTCCAGCTTTCCTAAGCTCTCTTTCTTCCCCTGAGGACATCCTTAGTAACTGTGTCTTTAGTGATGAGCAGGACCAGGAGGCTTTGGGGTGTGGGGCCTGCTGAGCAGGAAGAAGACAAGGCAAGGAGATAGGAGGCTGGTGTGTGGGCAGGGCCTTGACGGTCATGCTGAGAACCTAGAACTTCATTCATGTTTTAAGCAGAAACATGGCCTGGTCAGGTTTGATCTTCACTTGTCTCCCAGCTACAGTGCCTGGGGACAGGCCTGAACACGCAGCCCACTGGGGAACCAGTTATGTGTGGAGTTTGGCCATGGAACCTGGCTGGGATTAAAGGTGGCCAGGATGAAAGGTGCAGGCCATTCAGGCTTCCCACCTCACCTGTGTCACTCCCTCTGCTCTCCATCACTCCCCAGTCACTGTTCTCCGAGCTCAAGTCACAGTGAAGCTCCAAGTTCCTTGGAGGGACTCTGTTTCCTCCTGCCTCTGGGCCTTCCCATGACAGCTGGAGTCACCTTGCCCAAGTATAAACCAACAACCTTCACTTGGCGGATGCCCACTCCTTCCTCAGGGAACACTCCCAATGCCTCATCCCAGGTCAGGCCTCCCAGGTACCTTGCAGTTCCCCTTCTGAAACATTCACTTCATTTGTAATTACATGGGTGGGGTGGACAACACCTATTTTTTGTGGCCTGGCAGCCTCTCTATTTGGTGTGTGGCTACAGTACCCTGGTTTTTTTGGGGGGTACCACCCCTCCCTCCACTGTCAATCTGTGCCCTTTGGGTAAAGTTGACTAGACCCCTAGGAGCCAAGACTGGGCCATGTGACCAAGGCTAGGCCAATCAGGACAATCCATGCCCTTTAACTTCTGTGATTGGCTCAGAAATAGGCAGGTGATCTAAATAAGCCAATCAGGGCTAAGGACACTCAGTCCTTGGATTTTGATTTGAGTTCTTGAGATCCTGACTTAACTTCCATGGTCTAAAGTGGTGATGTGAGCCTGAAGCTGCCTGGGCCACCATAGTAGCCTGAAAATTGAACCAGCCCAGAGGTTGCAGAGCCAAGAGATGGCTCCTAGTAATATCATTTAAGCTCTAAATCAAGTTGTCCCTAAATCAAATCTATCCTTCCACATTTCAGCTACAGGAGCCAATCAATTCTTTTTTTTTGAGACAGAATCTCACTCTGTCGCCCAGGCTGGAGTGCAGTGGCACAATCTCGGCTCACTGCAACCTCTGCCTCCCGGGTTTAAGCAATTCTCCTGCCTCGAGCAGCTGAGATTACAGGTGGGCGCCACCATGCCTCGCTAATTTTTTTTTTGTACTTTTAGTAGATATGGGGTTTCACCATATTGGTCGAACTCCTACTTCGTGATCTGCCTGCCTCAGCCTCCCGAAGAGCTGGGATTACAGGCTTGAGCCACCATGCCCAGCCTCAATTCTCTTTTAAAAACAGACCTGCCTGGGTTGGATCTGGTGAGTCACCACTGAACAATCTCCTCGGCCTATGTTATATTCCTTCTGCCATGAGCCCAGGGGCTGTATTTGTGCCTGCAGTACCTAGCTCAGTGTCTGGTGCCTAGGAGTGTTCAACAAAGCAGTGAATAAGAAGAAGAGGGGACTCAGGGCTTTACCCCTTCACCCTTTAATACCAGGAAATGAGATGCAGGTTGTGGTTCTCTCTGGGTGATGATCTTGTTACAGAGTCCTGTTGGAACCAATTTTCTTCAGAGCAAGGAACTCCAACTTACAAGAAAGTAGCCACTTATACGTTGTGACAAAAGGGGCCCTGGGAAAGATTTGTTGCTCAATAAAATTTACGAAGTGCCTGAAGTTCTATTGTTAGCAAGATTCCTTTGGCTTATGGTTCTGAGAACACTTACGAATTCTCTGAAAATATACGTCTGTATTTGCTTATATGAGTATAAAGAAACTCTGAAACGATACACAAGAAACTAATAAAAAAGTTCCTGGGGCTGGGCGCAGTGGCTCACGCCTGTAATCCTAGCACTTTGGGTGGGCGAGGCGGGTGGATTACCGGAGCTCAGGAGTCTGAGAGCAGCCTGGGTAACATGGTGAAATCCTGTCTCTACGAAAAATGCAAAGATTAGCTGGGTGTGGTGGCATGCACCTGTAATCCCAGCTACTCGGGAGGCTGAGGCAGGAGAATCATTTGAACCCAGGAGGTGGAGATTGCAATGAGCTGAGGTTGTACCACTGTACTCCAGCTGGGGTGACAGAGTGAGACTCTGTCTCAAAAAAAAAAAAAAGTAACTGAGAGTTGGGATAAGAACTGGCCGGATGGAATGAGGCAGGCACAGGAATGAGAATTTTTATATTATTTGAATTTTGAGCCATATGCATGTATTGGCTTTTCAGAAATTTAAAAAAGAGCATCCTTGAGAGTGCAAAACCACTAGAAGCCATTAGCAGCTCTTCCCAGCTGTGGGGGAGGACAGCTTGTTTTTCAAGTGGGGTAGCTGGATTCAGTGGGGAGGCCCTGATAGACTGGACAGGAGTGGTTTGTCTTGGTTGAGGAAAAAAAGAGGCGAAAAGAGGGATGCAGAACCCAGGGGACCATCTGGAGAGGCCTGGACTGGGCAGGGCACTGAGAGAGAGAAGAATTAGGCAGGCTAAACAGAGGGGTAGGACATCAAAGATACTTTCTCAGGGGCCTCGCTACCTCTGCCTGGACTTGATAACTTCCAAGACTCTTTTTCCCTTTAAAAAGTTCTTTATACCAACCCTCTGTGTCTGTAGGCATGTCCCTTCAGGACCCTGAGCCTGCTGACTCATCTATAAGTTGAAGGGGCTGGATTAATTACCTCGTCTACTGTCCCTGCCACCTGTGCCGCTCTCATTCTCCCCAACTCTGTGTCCTAAAGCCCCACTCCTGTTCAGAAAAGATATGAGTTATTACCAGGGAACACAACCTGTACCTTCATAACACGATAAGCTTAAACACTGAAGAGAGCTTCAGTGCCAAAGCACTGACTGGGATCATTCACAGTTCCTTCCTGTGCTTAAATATGGCTCACGGAGGTCAAGCAGAAGAGCAGGTGATTAATTAGCTGAGCATGTGGCTGCCTGATGTACTTCCTGCCCTGCTCACCTGCACTCTCTGGGGCTCCCGTGCAGGCCCTCTGATGCCCTTGTGACACAGTGCACTCCCTCACTGGCCAAGGGACTTCAGCAGAGCTGAAAATCTGCTGGTGGCCATGACCCTAGAAATGCTGCTGCACTCACTCCCCTCAGATTCTCACAGGGAAGGAAGGCCTTCCCTTACCTTAGGAACAAAGTGGTGCCAACTTCTGTGTTGTCAGGCAATGGTCAGGGGGCAGCAAAGGGGGCACATCAGCATTTGAGGATGGTTGGAAGGACACAGACCTGGTGTGGGTGATGGTGGAGCAGACAGGTGCTCCACCATGGTCTATGGGGCTGGAGGGTGGCATGGGCCATGGTGGAAAAACAGGAGTTCACCAAGGGCCTCAGGTTTAGATTTTTTTTTCTTGAGACAGAATCTCACTCTGTTGCCCAGGCTGGAGTGCAGTGGCACAATTGCAGCTCACTGCAACCTCCACCTCCCAGGTTCAACTGATTCTTGTGCCTCAGCCTCCTGAGTAGCTGGGATTACAGATGTGCACCACCATACTCAGTTAATTTTTGTATTTTGGGTAGAGATGGGGTTTCACCATGTTGGCCAGGATGGTCTTGAACTCCTGACCTCAAGTGATCTGCCGCCTCAACCTCCCAAGGTGTTGGGATTACAGGCAGAAGCCCCATGCCTGGCCTGGATTGTGATATTACAGCAAATGGGACAATAAATACAGACACAGAAATACAGTGACAGCACTGAAATATGCTCGTATCACTTAAAGCTGTCAGCTCCTGGCATCCAGCCCTTATGGTAGGGCAAGAACAGCAGCAGCTGCTCATAGACAGGAGAACAGAGTGGGGAGAAAGATGCCTTTCGAGCCCTGCAGAACCCACCGCCTATAACACACTGTAAAAAACAAAACTAAACTCTAGCTCTGTATGGTTTATCTGTTACTTACTATAAATATATGTAATTCCATAGTTATGTCTTATACTTTTATGTTAATATATTTGCTCAATGTAATAATTTAAACAGTATCAGAATTTTTGTGGCCTTGTTTTGAGACGTTTAGAACTGACTTGGAGTCACAGGTGAAGGTGACCCAGGCTTTTCTTCTTCCCTAGGAGGCTGTGTTGGGATTGAGTATGGCTTGTGGTTGTCCGGGTAGACAATGGGGAACTGGAACTCAGCTGTGTTCTGGAACCTTGAGCACAGGGCTTTGGCATGGATCTCTCTACCTCTATCACCTGTCCCTGCCCTTCAGCTGCCTGGGGTGAAGAAAGTGCCTTTGGATGCAGGTGCCTTCCTGTGCCAGGGGCCTGTGTGCTGGGAGCTCTGGGTATCTATTACCTGGTGGCTGGTATTAGATGGCCTGAACTCTCTTTGCCCAGAGTGTCATGATTTACACACTCATTTCTTTTAGAAATACAACCTTGATTGACTCTTTGTATTTCTTAAATATTTTTCATTTCCCTAATTCTCCCTCACCTCTTCCCATTCTCAATCCCTGCTAACAGGAATGTCATTGACAAATCCACTTTCTCCCTACCTGCCCCATGTCCTGTCCCTTTCTTCCATGAAGCCCTTGGCAGAAGGCTTCACTGACTGCAAGGTGACCTGTCTACAGCCTCTGGGGTGGCAAGGCAAATGGAGTGGGCCAAGATACTTCAGCTTTGGGAGGGAGAGATGAAGAGAAAGCCAGAGGATAGGCCAGATGCCATTCTTTTTTTTAGTTCTGTGGTCTTCATAAGCTACTTAGGCAACATGACACAAAATCTTAGGCGTCTGCTAAATACTGTATATCTACAATATGAGTTATACTATATGAGAAGGGAAGTTGGTAAAGTGAGTTTGGGCTTTGCAGTTAAACACATTTGGACTAAAATCTCAGTTTATTTAGCTGAAGTGTGAAGTGGACAATTCTCTGAAGAAGAATTTTTTTTTTTTGAGACAAGGTCTTGCTACGCCACCCAAGTTAGACACAATAGCCTGATCATAGCTCACTGTAATCTTGAACTTGTAGGCTAAAGCAATCCTCCTGCCAGACTAATTTTAAAACATTTTTTTGTAGAGATGGGGGTCTCTCTGTGTTGCCTAAGGCCTTGAACTCCTGGCCTCAAGCCATCCTCCTGTCTTGGCCTCTCAAAGAGCTGGGATTACAGGCATGAGCCACTGCGTCCAGCCAGAATTACCATTAAATTAGACTCAAGAAGCAACAAAAATGTTTGAACCATTATTTTATCCTATTCCATGTAGTTTCCTGTATGTTTCAAATATTTCACAATACAATATATTTTAAACAGTCAATAAAGCTCAACAAACACAGACTCTTTCCATGCCTTTAGGAAAAATATTAGTCACTCTTTTCCACAGTTGTACTTATAGAAATTGAGGCAATCTTGTGAAAGGGTAATTTGGCAATATTATCTGAATTAAAAACATGTAAATTCTATTACCAAGCAATCCCAGTGTTTTTGGGGTGGGGTGGGGACCATTTTATTATATCTCACAATTCTATCAACCATGAAACCAGACAGGCCTGGCCTGGTGATGCTTCTGCTCCATATCAGCAAAAATCACTTGCTGGTGTTTACATGGCAGATTGGCAGGTCTGGAGGGTCCACAATGGCTTCACTGAAGTTGGCAAGGGTGGGCTCCACTGGCACCATCCACCAGAATGCCCACATGTGGCCTCTACAGCATGCTTATCTGATTAGTTGAATTTGTTACAGGGCAGACTACATCCATGGCCTTGCTGCTCAAAATATGGTCCACAGAACAGCAAACAGGCATCACCTGGAAGCTGCATAATCTCTGCCCAGTAGTACCTTTTTAATCACCTGTTTCTAGGAAATACTAGTAAGCATGTGTACCAATATATGTACAAAGATATTGCCTGAGGTGTTTTTTATATCAGGAGAATAATGAAACCAAAATCTCCATAAACAGAATGGTTAGAGAAATCATGGAATACCCACACCATGAATACCATGAAGCCATTATAAGAAAGAAATATGTGTATATTGGCCAGGAAAGATGGCCATGAAATGCTGTTTAGTAAAATAAAAGCAAATGACAGGATAGTATATAGGACAGGACCCATTTTTGGTAAGAAAAATATTTCAGTAAATAGCTCTATCATCTAGCCATCCATTCATCCCAAAATCTGGAGGGACAGACACTCAATGAGCAGTCTCTTCTGGAATAATGGAGGGATTTCTGCTTTTTAGGTACTATAATTCAATGCACAAAAAAGCAAGAACATAAAATAATTTTTCATTTTGTTTTTCAGTCCATTAAAAAAAAGCAACAACTCTTAAAAACGAAACCAAATCGTTGTACTCTGGAAATATCTGTGCTGAACAATTATGCTCAAAGATCATGAAGATATGGTTTCCTGGTCTCAAAAAGCCCATCGGCATTAACCCACTTGCCCTTAAGATTCCTCACTCAGCTCACCAAGGTCATTACCCCAATTTTCAACCTTTCATTGTAGGTGAGGAATCATTTCATTGTTTCTCTTTAATTTTAGATCCACTTAGATTCCTTTAAGTGCTACGGAATTGATTTTTTAAGTGAATCAGTTAGAAGGTTCCAATTTTCTTTCCCAGAAAGCTCCGGCCCACAAGCTCGAGATGACAAGTACTTCTGTGTAGAAAGGGTTGCTAAACTTCCCTGGAAGATCCCAATATTTGCTGTCTATCCTTTTCTCCTAAAAGCAAAGACAGGTGGTTTAGACTAGAGAGGATTTCTATTTTCAGCCAAAGAAAAAAATTTACCTCTACTACAATGGGATATTGTTAATAGCAGGCAGATTTAGATGAAGTGTTCTGGGTGCTTTTCCTGAGACCAAAGCCCAACAAATAAACGAGATCCGGTCTTCAGTGTAGGTCTGCCCGCTATAGGTTAAATTCTCAATTTATTGGTTTCACTGTTTGGAGGGCTCAGGATGGTGGGTCTTTTACAATCCTGAGTTCCTGGAGACAAATTTGACTCTTTCTTCTTCACTGTAAGTCATTATACCCCCAGAAAGGCTGCTTCAGGACCTCCCTCCTTTGCTGGGTCCCTCAGGATGCAGAAAGGGCCAGAGTTGGGTTCAGAATGTGACTTGATGACTCAACAGCCGACCTGAAGTTGCAGTAAGAATTATCGACCATACAAGGGAGATCTGATTGAAGCGCTTTCCTTTTTCCCTATCTGGAAGCAGTACGTTTCTAGCATAAGCATTAACACCTAGCTTAGCAGTTTCCATTTTGGTCACATTATAGTCAATGATGAGCAAGAGGGGGATGGCCAGTGTTGAATTTCACTTGGTTGTGAAATAGCCTAAAAGCACTGATTACGCCTATAGTGCTTGATGTCTGGTATTGACCAGAGTCAAAGACACCTGATATAAAAGACCAATGATTACAATTCCTTAGGAAATGACCCATGTTTTGCCAACCCTCATTCCTGTCTGGTGTCTGGCGCCTCTGGGTCTACTGCCATGCCTGGCACAGTGCAGGTGGGCATTTAAGAGAAATGGTCCTCTGCTTTGAAGGCTCTCTTTAAATGTGTCACTTTGGGCATCCTGTTTTAAGATGAAACTTGGTGGGACTAAAACATTTTAAGGCAAAAAAAGAAGACAGTTGAAGGAAAAAACCTATCTAGAATCATGGCAGAAAGCCATCTTTAAGGTATGCATTTTTACATTGTACAGAGACCTCAGCAAATAATTCACACTTATTAAGTAATTACTATGTGTCAGGAGCCTTGCTAAATGCTTTACATGAATTATCCCATCCACTTCCTCCCAGCATCACTCTCTGTGAAGTGAGCATTCTTATTCCCGTTGCACAGGTTGCAGAGAAGAGGTCAGGGAGGATGTGTGGTCTGGAGAACATCACATGCCCCATAATGTGTAGGGCCAGTATTCAAATCCAGGCAGTCTAACCCAGGCCTGTGTTCCTAACCTCACACAATGCAGCAGCTTGTTAGGAGTGAGACCCTGCTTATGAACAGGGGCAAAGGCAAGAGGTGGCCTGGAGCCCCTTTGCTGAGGATGTGGTGCATCGTGAGTGCACACATTATCTGTGCCTTCAAGGTGGGGGCGCGGGGTCATGGCCATGCAAATCCTTTCCTTCTCACTCCCTTGATTGATGACTGGATCTAGGATATTTCAGAGTAAATTTATGCTAGTAACCAAATACAATACCTAAAACTGTTCCTTAAAAGCTGAGTGGAAAAAGTCCAAGTGGTCCTTTAGTGCACAGTCAGCTGTGGAGGAAAACCAAGGCCAGATGGAAGGGAGGTAAAAAGCATTTGCGGGGTCCTTCCACCACCAGAGGCTGAAGCTCTAGCGTTTTATGACAGAATATACCTTACTCCACTGGGGAAACTCTTGTTTAATCCCCCATCTCTCAAAAAATTAAGGCTAAAGCATTATATTCCTCGAGAGCAGATTTTTTAGAATTTTCCCTACATACCTGTGAATGTCAATTTTACTTGACTCTAAGAACTTAAAATGGCTTCTAAGTTATGTAATTTCTCTATTTTCCATCCACTTTCTAGAGTCCTGCTTTCTACCTAACATTGCTAATAAGTGCTGCTCTTTGCAATGGAAGATGATGCCAGCGACTCACTTTCTAGAGGGCCACATGCTCTGAGATACTGCTTCTAGTGGGAAGAATTTGTATTGTCAACCTTTCGAGGTTTTTATTCTTTTCCATGTAAAATGAATTGGTCATTAGGGAACTCAAACCTTGAAGCTGGCATTGACACTACACTGTTCTAGGGGACTAAGAGAAACATTGATCACAATGCACACCGAATCCTAAATGAAATAATTATTTCTGAATGATTGCATTAGGAAGAGATTCATGGGACTTTAATCCTGGGAGGGACATTAAAAGTCACTTAGCATAACCTCATTCTTTTACACTGGCAGTAAGGACTCTGAGAGAATTTTTTTAAATAGGTGAGGCTACTACAGCTCAAAGAGCAAAGTGATATGCCCAAGGTCTAATTTGTGTTAGTGGATTGTAACCCTGGCTGTACTATGCTAGAGTACGTGCAAGAGTTGTTGAAAAGTACTGATGGTTGGATCTTACTGTGGACAAATGAATCTGATTTTCTGGGTCTGGGGTTTGGGTTACTGGCACTTTTTAAAGCTCTCCAGCTGGCTCTATCTGAGGCCAGGGTGAAGTACTGAGCTAGACAAGAACCCAGCCCCCAATCCAGAGACTGCCAGGGTTATCAAACCCATGGCAGTCTCTCATTCCCCACCCCTGAGCCCATGGCAGACTTGATTCAGGGATCACTAAACTCTTTCCTGCTGTGCCTAATCTGGCCTTCTCGTATTGTTCATGGAAGCTGCCACCTGTCCGTGAGCACTGGGAAGACAACCTGAGACATGGCTACAGCCAGGCACTGTATCTTGGTTCCTCTAAATAAAATCACACAAATATCAGAAAGTATTATTCTGGTAACACCAGGATTGTATATTCTCACAGTCCAGTGTATTTATCTATTGGTCCATCAAGGCTCAATGGCGGAATACCAGGATGAAAGCCCTGTGTTACTCAGCTGAGCTAGGTCTGAATACTACTCTGCCATTTACAACCTATGTAATTTTAGGCAAGATTTTGTGCCTCAGTTTCCTCCGTGTCTCTTCTCTGGTATTAATTGCCCACAAAACTGAAACCTGGACCCTCAGTCTTTCCCAGCCTTTTTTTTTATCTATCAGAACCCCAATCCCCTTAATCTCTGATACTAACTTGTTCATACGAACAAAGACTTGGTAAGAGTTAGTGCTCAGGCCTCATTCCCAAGTACTCAGAGTGCCTGGAGACAGCCTTTTGAAGACACTGACAATACTTGAACACAATTTTTTCGTGGGTATTATGTACTTCTCTAGCCAGAGATGAACTTTGCAGTCTCCTAACAATTAGGATTCTATCTAAATTCTGCTCAAAAGTAACAGCAAAGGATGTAGGCTGCTGAACTGGATGCAAACAACCTGACAATCCCTTTTCCCCACCTCCCTCCTCACCCTGCAGCCTGGGTTACCACTCAGGGCCAGTCTGAGCCTACATCACACATGGAAATGGCCTTATTCTAGCAGAGACTAGCTACAGTTAGATCAAGGCTTCTCAGTCCCCACAGGGCTCTGATCCCTGTTGTTTTTTGGTTGCAATATGAGTTCCTTCAGGCTCTCACCCTAATACTGTTCGTTCTTCCCCAACTCTTGCACCCACTGTCTCCCCTGCTTCCTTGCACTGCTGCCTCCTGGCCAACTTCATTCACCATGTCTTCTGGAATGCCCACTTTATGGTAAGCAAGCTCCTCATGCCTTCACCCTGCTGTAACTGAACATGGCTCTCTTGGGACTGTCTTCCTGAGGTCCTTTCATTCTCAAAGAGAGAGATGTCATTCTTCTCCACCTGAGTTCAATAGGTGAGGGTGTACCATCCTTCTGGGAGAGGAGAGAATAACTGTGAACAATAGTACCACATACAGAGTACATGTCACTTGGAAAAAGTGTTTGTCATCTTTCTCTCTCAAAGACTTCTTCCAATTGGTTCAATTAGTATCTCATGGGACAGACTGAAGTCTTAACTTAATCCTACCTATGTCTTTAGTGCAGCCTCAGATTTTCCCATTCCATTTCCCCACATTCACTATGAAAATCAAGCCAAATCAACTTACCTGTAGTTCCTCAAACACACTAAGGCATCATCAAGACATCTACTTTCTCAGGCCATGTTGTTCTTATTATCATCTTCTATAAGGAGGAGCAAACTCCCTTCCTCTCACCCTGATCTAAATGCCTGTCCTCTAAGAACCCATTTACTTCTGAGCGCACTCATTGCACATCTCAGTAGTAAGCTGTTCACTTGTTTCCTTCACTGACTGAAAGCTCTAAGAGAACACAGGTGATGTCTTTTGGAACCCATGTCTCTCTGACCTCAGAATCTGGGACCTTCCTGACCACACACACACACATCTCCCACTCTGTGGACAGCACAACACTAGGTGCACCAGGGTACTTTTAGAGGAACACTACTCATACCATCTGCAAGTTAGAAGAAAACTTAATAGGCCGGGGGTGGTGGCTCACGCCTGTAATACCAGGACTTTGGGAGGCCAAGGTGGATCATCTGAGGTCAGGAGTTAGAGACCAGCCTGGCTAACATGGTGAAACCCCATTTCTACTAAAAATACAAAAAATATGCCAGGCATGGTGGTGTGCACCTGTAATCCCAGCTACTCAGGAGGTTGAAGCAGGAGAGATTGCTTGAACCTGGGAGGTGGAGGTTGCAGTGAGCCAAGATCATGCCATTGTACTCTGGCTTGGGCGACAAAAGCGAAACTCCATCTCAAAAAAACAAACAAGCAAAAAAAGAAAACTTAATAATCCAACCCTCATTTCACAGATGAGCCCAAAGACACTCTGGCTTACTTACAGTGATTCCAGAGAGTTAGTGACATAACTCTCCCACCTTCCCCTGTACCACTCATAGACTTTAAAGAACTTGAATCTAATGTCCAAGATGAATACAATAAGCACACAAATAATTACAATTCAAGGAATTATATGAGAAACAGAAAGTCTGAAAGGAGACGGGAGAGGGAGAAATTACATCTTTGGGCTGGGGTAGGGTAGGCTAGGAAGAGTAATCAGGATTGTGTACCACAGTTCTCAACCTTTTTTGTCTCACGACTTTTTCACACTTAAACATTTTTTAAAAGATATTTGAGGGCACACAGTAGGTGTATATATTTATGGGGGTACAGGAGATGTTTTGATATGGGTATGCAATGTGAAATAAGCACATCATAGAGAATGGGGTATCCATCCCCTTGAGCATTTATTCTTTGAGTTACAAAAAACTCAATTATACTCTGCAAGTTATTTTAAAAATGTACAATTATTATTGACTGTAGTCACTCTTTGGTGCTATCAAATAGTAGGTCTTATTCATTCTATTTTTTTTGTACCCATTAACCATGTCACCTATCCTGCCAGGTCCCCACTACCCTTCCCACCTTCTGGTAACCATCCTTCTACTCTGTATGTCCATGAGTTGTTTTGACTTTTAGATCCTACAAATAAATGAGATCGTGTGATGTTTGTGTCTGACTTATTTCACTTAACATAATCTCCAGTTTCATCCATGTTGTTGCTAATGACTGGGTCTCATTCGTTTCTATGGCTGAATAGTACTCCCGTATGTGTATGTACCACATTTTCTTTATCCATTCATCTGTTGATGAACACTTAGGTTGCTTCTATTGTAAACAGTGCTGCAACAAACATAGGAGTGCAGATATCTCTTCAATATATTGATTTCCTTTTTTGTGTGTATATACCCAGCAGTGGGATTGCTGGATCATATGGTAGCTCAATTTTTAGTTTTTTTAAGGAACTTCCAGGCTGTTCTCCATAGTGGTTGTACTAATTTACATTCCTACCAACAGTGTACAAGGGTTTCCTTTTCTCCACATCCTCACCAGCATTTGCTATTGACCATCTTTTGGCTATGTCATTTTAATTGATATGAGACACTACTTCACTGTGGTTTTGATTTGCATTTCTCTGACAACCAATGATGTTGAGTACTTTTTAATATGCCTACTTGTCGTTTGTATGTCTTAAGAAATGTCTATTCAAATCTTTTCCCCATTTTTGATCAGATTATTAGTTTTTTTTCCTATAGAGCTGTTTGGGCTCCTTATAATCCCGGTTATTAATCCTTTGTAAGATGGAAAGTTGCTAATATTTTCTCCCATCCTGTGGGTTGTCTCTTCACTTTGCTGGCTGCCTCCTTTGCTGCGCAGAAGCTTTTTAACTTGATGTGATCCCATTTGTCCATGTTTGCTTTGGCTGCCTGTGCTTATGGGGTATTGCTCAAGAAATGCTTGCCCAGACCAATGTCCTGGAGAGTTTCCCAGTGTTTCTTTTAGTAGTTTCATAGTTTGAGATCTTATATTTAAATATTTAATCCATTTTGATTTGATTTTTGTATATGGCAAGAGATAGGGGTCTGGTTTCATTCTTCTCCAGAGGGATATCAAGTTTTCTGAGGATCATTTATTGTCTTTTCCTCAGTGTAGGCTTTTGGCCCTTTTATATTCTTAACCCCAAGAGCTTGTTTCTTTTTGTGATTATAACTATTGATTTTTATTGTGTTAGAAATTAAAACTAAGAAAACTAAAAATATACATTAAGGTTAAATATACTTCAAAATAATAAACCCAGTATATATTATCACATTTTAATGAAAATAACTGTATTTTCCAAAACAAATACAGTGACAAGCATGGCATTTGTTTTCTGCTGCTCTGTTTAGTCTCTGGCTTAACGGAAGACAGCTGGATTCTCATATTTACTGCTGCATTCACTCTCTTGAGATAGGCTGTTTTGGTTGAAGCCTTAGAAGACAACTCAGCCTCATGCAGACATACAGTTGGAAAAGAGGAGAATAGTCTTTTTAGATAAGTGTGCCTATTTTTCAATACTTCATCAAAACATCACAAGTAATAGTTTTTTAAAAGTTAGCTGCAATGTAGAAACTGAAATCGTTATCAAATGAACTTTCAGTATGCAGTAATGTTAAAATCTATTGGTCTATCTTGCATTTTAAATGTATAGTTTTGTTATATCATGTATTGGTTCCTTGGCAATATTGGTTTGCTGAATTATACAGAGCTTCCAAATACTGTCACATTTCATTATATAGTATAAAAATTGCTTGTTAATATCACCACTAGTCTTATCTGGAAAGAATTTAAATAGGGACATGCTCGCAGTGAATACAAATTTTCTGAAATTCTAATTTTCACTTTAACATTCTGTCAGTTATTTCCTTGGAGGAGACTCACATTATTAATTTTCTGAATACTCAAAGTTTTTGTCTATCAGCTGTTGTTTTAGGCAAAAAAGGGTTCCATGAAAAACAGTTCATTCAGCTCACAACTCAGTTGCTCAAGTGTTTAGCTGTACTTCCCATTTAGTCACATGGAATATTAAAAATACATGTTATTGAAGGCTAAGATAACAATTACTACTGCCTTTCTCAAGAATATTCTTACGTGAAACTGGCTTTTTTGATGGCAGGTGCACAGCATCACTGCTTTGAATGGTGCTAAGTAAGGTGCCAGCAGTGCTATCTACCATTTCCGCCATCTGCACATACGTGAACACAGTGAAGAAAAAAATTGACATCTTAGTGTTATGAAAATATATTTGATCTTGTGGACTGCTTGAAAGACCCCTGAGAGTGGAACTCACTTTGAGAACTGCTGATGTATAAGATACTGGCTTTGAAAAATATGTTGGATTTTGATAGGATAAGATGAGAGAGTATATCTGAGGAACAGCAGGTAGACAGTTTGGTTGGAAGAGGACGAAAGCAGAGGCAGATGAAACTGAAAAGATACTGTGAAAGGCCCGAATGCCTTCATGATGACCCACTTAGGTTTAAGCCACACAGAAAAGAGGCAGGTTAGGAGGAGTATCTTTTTTTTTTTTTAATAGGAAAGTTGTCGCTTCAACTTACATAAAATAAAGCTTGCCATGTGTACAGTCACTAGTTATAAAAATAATGATAGCATTGCTGCTTTTCTCATAGAGAATAAATAAAACAAAAATCTTTACAAATGACTTGTTATAAGAAATGTGCCACACTATTACTTCAATTTAGACAGTATTCATTTTAGAAGGAAAGAGAATGAGAATAAAGCACTGTAAAAGACAGTGTGGCAATTCCTCAAGGATCTAGATCCAGAAATACTACTTGACCCAGCAATCCCATTACTGTGTATATACCCAAAGGACTATAAATCATTCTACTATAAAGACACATGCACACGTATGTTTATTACAGCACTATTCACAATAGCAAAGATTTGGAACCAACCCAAATGCCCATCAAAGATAGACTGGATAAATAAAATGTGGCACATATACACCATGGAATATTATGCAGCCATAAAAAAGTATGAGTTCATGTCCTTTGCAGAGACACGCATAAAGCTGGAAACTATCAGTCTCAGCAAACTAACACAGAACAGAAAACCAAACATGGCATGTTCTCACTTCTAAGTGGGAACTGAACAATGAGAACACATGGACACAAGGAGGAGAACATCACACACCAGAGGCCTGCCTCAGGGTGGGGGACTAGGGGACGGACAGCATTAGGAAAAATACCTAATGTAGATGATGGGTTGATGGGTTCAGCAAACCACCATGGCATATGTATAATTATATAACAAACCTGCACGTTCTGCACATGTACCGCAGACTTAAAGTATAACAGTAAAAAAGAATGAGAACATTTATTAAGCACCTATTCTAAACCAAACACTATGCTAGTCACTTTTCATATGTTATACTATTTAATCCTTAAACTTACAAAAGCAGTATTACAATTCATATAGGTAAGGTGAATGAAGCCCAAAACATCACATAACTTTCTAAGGCACATGACTCTGATCTCTGATTTTGTCACACTTCATTTTGTCATCTCTTATCTCAAGGCATTTGGGGAAAGTCAAATTTAATTATCGTGTGTGTGTGTATATATATATATATATACTGCAATATTTTTTCTTTTTTCTAAAAGAGATACAATAAGATGTGAAACCTCTAAAGAGACTGTGTATTTTAAATTTTTTGTTTGCATGCGGAACCATTTTATACAAGCAATATACAAGAGATATTGCTGATTACTGGGAGAAGTAGGTTGGCCGATAGAGATTTTGTTAAAACATAACAGCTGAGAAATATCAGCTTTTGAAATTTACAGCTAAGCTTTATCACAATACTTTTGGACACAAAGACCTTCTTTTTCTTTCATACTCTTAAATATCAATAAGAAAAAGAGAGAAAGCAATTCAGATTCACAGTCTGATGACATCTTCTCTGGCCCAAGAAAAAAAGGTACCAAGTTTACTGACATCAACAAACAAGTTCTGGGCATATACCACCAAGTCAACATGATCTGTTCTTCCTAAACTTGGACCTGTTCCTTTGAATACCCATGTTATTTTACATACGCAGGTACACACACTCTCTTTACACATCCATGTGTACATATGCTTCTCCGCCACAATGGAAACAAGTTATCTGTTTAATTGGATGGTTGGAAACTTCTCTGCTGACGTTAAACATTTTTTTTTGACTGGGCATGGTACTTTACACCTATAATCCCAGTACTTTGGGAGTCTGAGGTGGGAGGATTGCTTCAGCTCAGGAGTTCAAGGTTGCAGTGAGCTATGACCAGATCACTGCACTCTAGTCTGTGCAACAGAGAGAGACCCTGTCCCCCTACCCCAAAAAAGTCATTAAAATGATTTCAAATTAATGTCCATCCAAATGAATATTTTACGATAAAATAAAAGAAATAAATATAGAATATTTATTACTTACTCATTTCTAGGCAGGATAAGGGTCTGAGAGTATAATACAGTTCAAATAAAGAAGGTACTTGGCTTAACAATAGCTACTTGCATAAAATTATTATAAATATTAAAAACAAATAGGCAAACATCTTGAAAGTTTTATAGGCTTTGCATTTTAAAATTACAGCTGATTAGAAACTATACTTCTATACCGATATTAAAATAGTTGCATTTTCAGCTTAAATTACAACAGTTAATAATTTCTGCGGTTGTATATAAACATAATATTCTTTCTACATTTTAGTTTAAAATTGTACTATATTAAAAAGCTTATAGGCCGGGTGCAGTGGCTCATGCCTATAATCCAAGCACTTTGGAGGCCAAGGTGGGTGGATCACCTGAGGTCAAGAGTTCAAGACCAGCCTGACCAACATGGTAAAACCTTGTCTTTTTAAAAAAATAAAAATAAAAATAAAAAAGCTTATAAAGTACATTGCCAACAAAAATGGGAACTCACACATATATTTCTGACATTGGGAGACTCTTATAATTATAATGTTATAGAATGCCAAACACAGGCAATATATGTAAGTTTTAGGATACTTATAATGAAATAATAAAAGAGGAAAAAACCAGGACAACTCTGTCCCTTCAAAGTAGAGGCAATGTAGGTTACTTTGGAGGCCAAAGTGGGTGGAGATCAAGGCCATCCTGGCCAACATGGTGAAACCCTATCTCTACCAAAAATACAAAAATTATCTGGGTATGGTGGCAGGCGCCTGTAATCCCAGCTACTCCAGAGGCTGAGGCAGGAGAATTGCTTGAACCTGGGAGGCGGAGGTTGCAGTGAGCTGAGATGGCACCACTGCACTCCAGCCTGGCAACAGAGTAACATTCCATCTCAAAAAAAAAAATTCGAATTAATGATTTAGTAAATTTGCTTACTGGAATAAAAAAGAATTGCACCATAATTAATAATATGCCAAATGCTACAAGGTTCTGAATGTGTTGATCTTGTTGCTCTGCTATATTTTGCAACAGTTGACTTCAATCAACATCCCCCTATATTTTTGACTCAATTACATGTAGATATAACTTTAGGGATATATTTTTATTAAAAGATAAACTCTGTCAGAATATTTTTTTTTGAGACAGAGTCTCACTATGTCATCCAGGCTGGAGTGCAGTGGTGCCACCTTGGCTCACTGCAACCTTCGCCTCCCAGATTCAAGCAATTCTTCTGCCTCAGCTTCCCAAGTAGCTAGGATTACAGACATGCACCACCACGCTCAGCTAATTTTTGTATTTTTAGTAGAGACAGTGTTTCATCATGTTGGGAAGACTGGTCTTGAACTCTTGACCTCAGCTGATCTGCTTGCCTCAACCTCTCTAAAGTGTTTAACACTGTAATGGCTTCAGTGTTAAATTCTACCAAACATTTAAAAAAGATTTAATACTAACACAATTCAAACTATTCCAAAAAATAGAGGAGGAGGGAATAGTTCCAAACTCATTCTATGAGGCCAGTATTACCATGATACTAAAACCAAACACTTACGAATAAAAGAAATCTACAAGGCAATAACATTGATGGGTAATGACGCAGAAATCCTCAACAAAGTGCTAGCAAACAAAATTAAACAATATCTTAGAAATATCATCCATCATGACCAAGTGGGATATATCCCTGGGATGCAAGGATGATTAAACATGCACAAATCAATCAACATGATACATACCAACAGAATGAAGGATAAAAACCATATGATGCATCTAAAATGCAGGTGTGAGCCACCATGCCCGGTCTGTTATAATATCCTTAATACAAAAGTATGAGCATTGGTCATTGTAAGATCTGTTCTGTTGTAATGCTAGACTTACTACATTAAATTTCACAAGTATGTAAATGTGTCATGGCTAGGAAAAGGATTCTAATGATCAAATCTTCCTCCCTTAAGTAGGGTGGCTGGAACAAATTCAGCATGAGACTAAGATTATAACCTTGTTGGAATTATTCCCTTTCAGTGTGCCCTGCATCACACATTTAAACTATACAGTAGACACATGTAGCAGAGAGTCTGTGGCAGATTGGAAAGTCCCAAAATCTCTCAATGGGGTTGGGAGCTAGAAATTTTGAGGGATCTGATTTCCTGAATGTGCTGCTATTGTAGGGTTCCTCAGATCTCAGTGATGTCAGGAGGGAGCCCAACAGGTTACCTGCTGGTTCAGATATGCTTTGTGTTTTGATGTACTCACCTAATAAACGATATGTCAACCTGATCCTACCAGAAAAGTCCACAGGCTGCCTGAAAAATTATCTTACTTGCTATTTTCTTCACTTGATAGAGTTTTAGGTATTAAAGGATAAAAAGTATTTGAAAAATCCCACAATAACCTGTATGTTTTAGAGTTTTTGTGATTTTAGGTGCATCAAACTTTTTATATATTATTGAGCATTGAAAAGAGAAAACAACTTTCAATATCTAAATAAACAAAAGAGGGAAAAATAAGCTAAAACTAGTAATGTACATTTAATATTGTACATAACACTGCTTTGAGTTTGTGAGGTAAGATCAGCTATGAGGCAGTGTTTTTGCAAAATACCTGTAACTCCTGAACAGCCTTCAGCTAGCCACTCATCACCTGGTTTCTTCCATGTCTAAATTATGATCTTTGCCAACAACAGATCTGTCTGGAGGAAGTGTTGTAGACACCCCTAAATGACCTCTCTGCCCTGGCTGGCTTTACCTGTTTTAACTGCTACAAGTGGGGAATGTTTTGCTAAGTGTATTGGCCATCAATGTTGAAGTTACTAATGAAAAACTAGATATTTGTATGAAACTCCATAATTAAACTTCTATTTAACAGAAGACAGATTAGTAAAGAATGTAGATGCCTGTTACTTACTAAGTGAAACATCCATATATATATATATGAAAAAAAAATTCCAAAGTGTTATAATAATCTTCCTTAGTCCATTTGGTCTTAAAAACTTGTGTAGTTGTATCAGTAAAATTCACTGCCTTTTCCCACAAGGAATGTATTGCTAGGGACCATTGCCTAAACATTATGATGATTAATGGATACTGCTCTCATGGATGCATCTGTCCGAATGTGCAGTCTGCATTCTTAATGTTTACCACAAACCCAACGAAGCTGACGATCTGTTTGAAGGTCAGTCAGTTCTTCAATAGTTCTCCAGCTACACTGGCAGGCATATGCTCGTGTTCCTTTCTTCTTTATTAACTTTGCTTTTAATTTGTGGAATTCTGGTATGTTGTTCCTATTAGTAAAACAGGAAAGTTTTAGCATAGTGGCTTTGTTCAGTGTTTAATGACTCACAAAAAAAAAGTCATTGCTTTCTTTATTTTTTTTGAGAAAGAGTCTCACTCACTTCAGGTTGGAGTGCAGTGGCATGATCATGGTTCACTGCAGCCTTGACTTCCCAGGCTTCCACCTCAGCCTTCCAAGTAGCTGGGACCACAGGCATAAGACTAAGATTATAACTTAGCTGGAATTATTCCCAACTGTGCTTGGCTTAAATTCTTTTTTTATAGAGATGAGGTCTCAGTATGTTGTTCAGACTGATCTGAAACTCCTGGACTCAAGTGATCCACCCAACTCAGCCTCATAGAGTGCTGAGATTAAAGGTGTGAATCACAGTGCCCGGCCTATTTTCTTAACTTCCTAGTACACGAACGCTGAACAACCTAGATCCCCCTCACTCTAACGTTAGAAGACACGCTTCAGTGTTCTCTTTCTGATGGTATTTCTTTGATAATCTGTACTTTTTATGGCAATTCTCTAGGACAGTTTATTGACGGTCGTAGAATACAATAACCTAAAGGGCTGGAGAATTACTGATTTGTCCTATCAGAGATGAAATAATATGAAAATTGGGTGGAAAGGATGGTGGTTCATCTCCTACCTCAGATATTCACCTATGCCATATTTTAAAACTCTTCAATATGGCAAGTAAAGAGAACATTAGAGGCATAAGGATCATAGACTTCCGATGAATTAACTATGAAAAATTTTCATCAGTTTGAATAATCTGCTTATTTACTCATATTATCAGTAACAAAAATGTCTATCCTGAAATACATATTAATAATGTTGAAGTAATTAAATCAACAAGTAAAGCTATTGTAAAAATGATAACCATTGGATTTGATACTATTATAAAAACTACCAAAGTTTAATTAATAAATTATTTTCATGACATTCCATGTAATGAGTTAATATAAACATTCCTTGGCAAAGAAAAATGAAAAAAATTAAAAATAAAATGATAAAAAAATACAAAGTGAAAGGATGAAATACAGTATGAATGCTAGAAAAAGAGATACAGCATCTAAACTTTACTTGTGGGTATTACTGCAACAGAAGGCAGGCTACAAAGTGCCCTCTGGTGGTCAATGGCCACACATTCAGTATTACATTGTACAAAATTCAGGCACAATTTAGAAGGTTAGAACCTAACAAAACCTGAGAGATTTTCCAAGCCAACATCTGATTTCAGGAAACAGTCTGACCAGTTAAATGACTTAGCTGAGGGAAGAAATGAATAATATATATTTTAACAAAAAGAAAAAACCCCACCAAAACTAAGCTTTTGAGGAAAAACGTCTTTTATTTGATCTGCAAAATATTTTGAAAACTTAATATTTGATACTTGACTGAATCCTTAGAGATTTTAGATTAGGAATCATGAATAGGCAGGGATCTAATTACGACATTTCAAATGCTTATTTAAAATGCACATATCTTAAAAGCTTAGGGAAAAATCATTCCATTCCTTAAAGAAAACACATGATTTAATAGAAAAATAAAAGCATTTTCTTCAGCTGTTGTAGCAAGGTGGTCAATAATTACAGCTTACACTCCTTTTAGAATGTTCTAAAACTCAGCTGGGTGTGGTGGGTCATGCCTGTAAACCCTGCACTTTGGGGGGCTGAGGTGGGTGGACTACTTGAGCTCAGGAGTTTGAGACCAGCCTGGGCAACATGGTGAAACCCTACCTCTACAAAATTAGCTGGATGTGGTAGCGTGCACCTGAATTCCTGGCTACTCAGGAGGCTAAGGCTGGAGGATTCTTTGAACCTGGGAAGTGGAGGTTGCAGTGAGCTGAAATTGCACCACTGCACTCCAGCCTAGGCAACACGACTTGTGAGACTCTGGCTCAAAAAAATAGAAAAAAAAGTTCTATAACTTCTCAAAGCTAGGATACATTTATTTCTCTCATCTGTAAAATAAAACAATAAAACAAACAACTGCACAGCATTTCACTGTGTAACAAGTGTGCAGATCAACACTGCTAAAAATAAATGGCTCCCTGTGTTCTGCTGGACATTGAATGGTACTCTACAAACCTTTTAACTTGTCTTTGGTCACTGCCTACGTCTGGTTTCCTCAGTGATGATTCCACATCCTCTTCAAATCTCACTCTACTCCCTTATTTTCAGCAGATCACATCTTCATTCTCAAAACCAGGCCACCAGGTATGAAACCCTTCAATTTCCTGCAAGCTCTCCCTGAACACATCAGTACCTTGCTGGCTTCCTCACAGTCATAGAGGTCTTCCTTTTCCTGTCCAAGGCTCACCTCCCATCAGTGCTCTTGGCCCTATTGTCTGTACAACCTTGCTACTCACATGCTTGTCTCCTCCCATGTCTCCTTCCCCTGGGTTCCTCTCATCTTACGAGCCCAGTATCTAAGAGTGTCATAGACTAGATGCTGAATAATGACTACCGGATAAAGAAACACCAATATACTATATAAAATAACTATCATATCAATGATTTATATCCTGATGGTGGAGACTGTCTTATTTCTTTAGTTGTTCCATTCTCTTACATCCCAAACATATTCCTAAGTGTCTTGAGAACTGAGACGGTATTTTCTACTGATTTAAATAATGACTACTTGTTTATTTTTAATGGTATAATAAGTCCTCTGGTTGTCACTGTTTTATCTAAAAGTACATATATTTTTAAACTAGGCTGCCACAGATCTCAGGTAAACCAACTGGTGTTCTTGATGACTCTGAGACACTGCAAGTAGTACCGACTAAGTTATCCATAGTTTATGCCTGTGTTCACCACTGTCTTGATGTTACATGCATTTATTATTCTATGATGGTTTTATAAAAATTCATGCTTCATCTTGGTGACATATGGGAATTATTAGCCACTTATTAGATTAACTAGTAGACAGTAAATAGCAGAGGGTTTAGAAAAGTCAGAGAAGGAAAAGTGAAACCTGTAGTTAAAAGGTAAGTTTTTCACTAATGGCCTAAAAAAGTGGACTAAGCCTAAAAGTATGGGTTCCTGACCTCGGATTTTGGGAATACATTAGGCTTTATTTGGGTTGGAAACTGTGAAACTTTTCGAGTTATAATTTTTCCATGTATTTTTATATTTGAATTGTGTGTATGTGTATGAAGAGGATTCAACACTTTTAGAGTGGTTCTTGATGTGAAAAAGTTTAAAAACAATTAAATTAGGGTATACTCATAGATTTACCCAAGAATGGCTGCCAAAGGAGGTGTAGGGGAAAGTCTCTTACCCTTTTCTTTATGCTACTAAAAAGTGCTGCAATAATACACTGTATTAATTTTTAGCTTTAAATTTTTATTTGAAAATGTCAATGAAAAGTTCAAATACATTTTATAACTTGTAACACCTTAAAGATATTAGGTATGCCGTAAGTGTACAAGAATGTACAAATTATATAAATATGAGTAAGACATTATCTCAGCCACAAGAAAGGTAGTAATACACCAACCTAAGTGCTTCAGTTTTATATTACAGTATATAATATGTCCAAAGCACCATGAATACATAGGAAAAGAAGAGTTTTCTTTCAGTTGAGAGAGTGGTGGAAGAATCATGGAAGACCCGTGATGTATTGTATTCTGAAGGACAGGTAGGGTTTAGATAGATAAAATGATGGGAAGGCATCCTAGGAGGTAAAGAGGTTGTACAAAGTCAGAGGGAATGGGAGCCTGAGTACTCTGATGTAGCTAAAATCTTGTAAAGGTGAAATATGCATTGTGGGAAGACCAAGTTGGATGATGGATGGATGGGAGCTGGATTGTGGAGGGTCATGAATGCCATGCTATGGAATTTGGACATTATTCTGTACGTGGAAGAGTGTTGGGCAGGACAGTACACTCTGAGCTATTCTTTAATTATGAACTAGGGAAGGATGGTCTGAAAGAAGAGACTGTAGGCAGAAAAACCAGTGAAAAGGCTACTTCTGTATTCTTGTCCAGAAGTAACATGTCCTTATCTAGGCTGACAGCAGACAGATGGAGAGAAGGAGATGGATAACAGAAACACAGTCATGCATTGCTTATGCTTTGTTAGGCAATTCCCTCATTGTGTGGACATCATAGAGTGAACTTATACAAACCTACATGGTATAGCCTTCTACACACCAAGGCTATATGGTATAGGCTACTGTTCCAAGGCTACAAACCTCTACAGCATGCTACTGTTTATACCCGCATCACCACTAACATGAGCAATGCACTGCAGTACGATATTACAGTGGCTATGGTGTCACTAAGGTGATAGGAATTTTTCAGCTCCATTATAATCTTATGGATCCACTGTGTATAAGCAGTCCATTGTTGACTGAAACATTGTAATGTAGCACATGACTGAATTGAAGAGGTGAAGCCCATATGATCTGGCCAAATCCACTAAGAGAATATATCAAAATAAGAAATATGAAGTACTTGGTACATTTTTCAGAGTGAAGTTCTTTAGCAACATACCTGAAAAACAGATAATCACATGATTTGTCCCACATATAGTCATCATAGCTTACCACCAAGAAATCACAGGCTATACAACGCAGATGGTCACATGCTCTGTTCAGAGAAAAAAGAATGGTATATTAAAGATCATTGGTATCTTTAAATGTGAAAACATGGTGATTTATTTATAGGACACACCATATTAGATTAGTGAATAAACAATAAAAAAGTAGAGATTAATTTGATTATAAATGTTTATACTAAAGCATTCTTTGTAGTCTAAACCTTAAGGTTAAATTTTTGCACAAACCTACCTATTTTACTACCATCTTGTACAATGAACATACACATATATAGATATGGGAGAAAATAGATTTGTAGATCTTTTAATTCCATGGTGTTTTCAAATTATGTCTGAGGGAGACCTTATAACTTGTAACACTTTAAAGATATTAGATATGCTGTAAGTGTATTTAAGCTAACTTCTTTAAATGCTTCCCTTCCTACTGAAATTTTCAGGAATATCTCTACCAAAGAATATGTCACATTACATTGAAATGAATCTGCTTTTCCCATAAGCTGCTGAAGTGCTGGGAAAAGATTGTATTTGTTTTTACTTCCTCACAACTTGGCATAATGCATTCATTCACTCACTTAAAAAATATTTATTGAGAGTCTAGTATGTGTTAGTGAGATTCTGTCTTCATGGGGCTTCAACTGCAGTAAGAGAAGAAATAAACAATACTCATGATAACTAAATTATAAAGTATGTTAGAGGTTACAAGTGCTTTGAATGAAATAAGTAGAGTAGGGTAAAGAAAACTGGGAGTATGAGGAGGGGATGGGTTCCAATTTCAAATAAGGTGGTCTGCACAGGCCTCACGTAGAAGGTATATCTGAATAGTTTCTTTAAATGGAGTGGTAGCTGGTAAAGGAAGTGGGTTGAAGAGACTATGTTTAAGAGAGGAGGAAAAAGAGCATGCTGTGTGTTGATGTTCAAGATGCAGTGAAGAGCAAAACTCCCATAATGTTGGAGGGAGTAGGCAGAACTGCTAGAATGATACTTAGCATACAATAGGTATTTAATGAGTATCTGAGGAATTAAAATTACAGGCAACCCTCAAAACGCAATTATATATATACTACATAGCAACTATACGAGTAAAAGATTACAGAGCAAGGTAAGAAAGAATTATGAACTGCTGCTGCAAACAATTTGAACGGTATAATAATTCTGATGTACTTTAAGGAAACCCTCCATTGTGTGGAGTGTTCAAAAACGAGAATCAACACAGATGCATTTGATCATCAAAAATTAAAAGGACATGTTTTTCAGATGCCAAAAAAAAAAAAAAAAAAAAGGCGAAGAGACCAGAGACCAGTAACAGAGTGGAAGAAAACATTTCATTTTCAACACATGGTTAAATACTTACACTACACACAAAATGCTTACTGACAAAATTAAAAAAAAATAAAAACGGCTGGGTGCGGTGGCTCAAGCCTGTAATCCCAGCACTTTGGGAGGCCGAGACTGGTGGATCACGAGGTCGAGAGATCGAGACCATCCTGGTCAACATGGTGAAACCCCGTCTCTACTAAAAATACAAAAAATTAGCTGGGCACGGTGGTGCGTGCTTGTAATCCCAGCTACTTGGGAGGCTGAGGCAGGAGAATTGCCTGAACCCAGGAGGCGGAGGTTGCCGTGAGCCGAGATCGCGCCATTGCACTCCAGCCTGGGTAACAAGAGCGAAACTCCGTCTCCAAAAAAAAAATAAATAAATAAAAATAAAAACAATAATCACTCTGTAGCACAGGCAGCAAAGAATAGTAATTAAGGACATGGACTCTGGACACAGACTGCCTAGGTTCAAATGTTGATTCTACTGTTTACTATCTGTGTAACTGTTAAAAATAACTTCTACATGACTCAGTTTCCATATCTGTAAAATGGGGATAATAAAAGTACACACACTTCATAGAATTACAACCATGAGATATATTTTTTCATCAATTAATTTGGGAAAAATTAGCACTCTCGTATGTTTTTAGTGGGTATGTGAGCTGCTGTAACCTTTTGGGAAAATTCTTGGTATTATTATTATAATTTTTTTTGTGAGACAGTCTCGCCCTGTTGCCAGGCTGGAGTACAATGTCACAATCTTGGTTCACTGCAACCTCTGCCTCCCAGATTCAAGCGATTCTCCTGCCTCAGCTTCCTGAGTAGCTGGGACTACAGGCATGTGCCATCACACCCAGCTGTATTTTTATTTTGTATTTTTAGTAGAGACAGGGTTTCACCATGTTGGGCAGAGTGGTCTCCATCTCTTGACCTTGTGATCTGCCTGCCTTGGCCTCCCAGGTATTACTTTTAAATTAAAATTTATACCTAGCCATTATACTAGCAATCCCATCTTGGGATATGTACAAATAAAAGCACCAGTATAGAAACATGTATCTCAAGAATTTTTACTTTAGTATTGTCAAAGTGACAAAAAACAGTATACTACCTGATTATCTATCAAAATGGGAAAAAACTGAGTAACATGCAGTGTATTTATAATATGGAATATCAGGGAGTTGATAAAGAGCATTAGTTAGATTTATTTACTAACCTGGAGGGACATCTGAAGAAAGGTGTACACTAACATATACAGCATGATCCTATTTTTGTAAAAACAACCGCCCACAAAAATTCCTATATAGGTGGCTGTAAGTTTACAAGGAGCAAAATGTAGAAAGTTATATACTACCTAGTAACACTGGTTGCATCAGGAGTAATTGAGTAAAGGGAAGGAAGGGTGATTATTATCTTTTTCTTTATACGTGCTTCAATTTTGTTTTTATTCTTTCAATAACTATATAATACATCTGTAATGAAAAAATGAAATGAAAATATTATATATTTTTCATTTATTTCCTTTCAAAGTTCAGATATGCTAATTTCAAAATTGCAAATACTTTTGACCTGAAAGTTTGAGAATGTTTTATATGTCTAAAAATATTATTAACCATAATAATAATGAAACATTCAAAACCTATACAAGTTTCATAGGCAAGTCCATATTTTATTTCAAACTGTTAGCAATTTATGAAGTTGCATTTCTACATTTAGAAATTCTACAACTACATTTGTATACATTTGAACTCAGATTTCGAATGTACAAGTCAGGAAATGCAAAATGATAGTTTCCAAAGCTACTATGACCTGCTTTCTTATGCATACGTAGTTTATTACATGATTGCACAGAGTGTTAACTTTAATGCCTTAATACATATGTGCAATTTGGCTGAATTATTGCTGTTGTGGGTACTATAATTTAGAATTTCCTGACATTTTGTATGTGTAAAATCTCAACCATAATGTTAAATATAGCTTTTTAATTTAATTTAAAATTTAGTAGTTTATTCAGATCTATTCACACTACCACATTTTCCTACAAACACTGTCCTCTGAGAAACATAAAACTAACTTGCAGCTAAGAAATCATTCCACTGCTACAATTTCCTCTATTAGATCATAATTAGTACCAGTCTATGGAATAATCCAGTCTTGCAGTAGTTTAAAAAAGAATCAGGAGAGTAAAATTCGATTGGCTTGAAAATGCCTTCGTTTTATCTGTACTACTCATTACTGCCACCATGCTTCTACTACTATTCTCTCCCCTTTCCACCAACCAGTAAAAGGCAAATCATTTCCTAAAATCTAAAGTCATTCAGCACTACCTCAAACCAGAGCTGTATCTAGAAATCAAACAAACAACACAAATAGGCAGGATAGATTGGATTTCCTTTATGCCCTGGCCATGTAAATCAGTACTTCTTTTCATGGCTGAAATCTATTTCTCTTTCATAGCTATGTACATAAAAGCATATGTAATATAAAATCATGACTCCAGTGAAAGACAAACTGTCAGGTCTTTCCCTCTAAAACGTAGAGGAAATCACATGTAAGATGTCACTAATAGCTTGTTCTTTTGTCCAGCTAGTAAGTAGAATTCACTGTTTTACAGATGTTTATGATAAGAATGCCCCAAAACCAACCCAATATAATCTTCTGCCCAGACACTGTGGTTCTCTGTTAAATCCTATCAGATCTGCACAATGGGACCAGAGAATCTTGATGTTTAAACAGGGTGAAAAGAACAGCAGTTTTAACAGCAACATCAGCTAAGATTCTTCCCACTTCCATACATTACATGGCTTTCTGCTAAGCAGTATCATAGAAAGCATAATGGATTAGAAATCAATTCACCAATTTGAATCCTTGCTTTGTAATATTTGATACGACACATTATCTGGGAGTTATTCTTTTTTTTTCTCCTTTTTTCCCTCTTTTTTTCTAGAGTTATTCTTAACAACTTTCTCTCTTACCTCCCTTAGTTACTTAATCACTGGATTCTGTCAATTCTATATTCTAAATATTTCAAATTTGACTTTTTCCCTATAGCCATTGCTACCACTCAGGTCACAGCTCCCATCGTCTTTCTTGGACCACTCTAATGCCTGTTGACCAGTCTTCCTGTGTCCTTTCTTGTTTTGCCCCTCCAACTACCAAGCCATTCTCTGCAGGGCAGCCAACATGACTTAAGAAACACAAATCTGACCCATTGCACACAGGACATACCTTTTCCAAAATCCTCCAAAGGATTAGTGGATCTGAAGCCAAATGTCCCTCTACTCTCTCTCCAGCCCCATCAGCAGCCATTCTTTTCCTAGTCTTTATGCTCCAGCACAGCCAGATGCTCTCTGTTCCTTCCTCCAGAGGAACACCACCAGTTCCTCCCCTTCGCAGGGATCTTTTAAACATGTGTGCTCTCTGGCTCCAATGGTCACCTCTCTTTGTCTAATTCTTACTCATTTTTCATATTGTGGTTTGGTTATCTGCTCAGAGAAGTATTCCCTGACCCTTCATATTAGTTAAGAGTGTCCATCATCTATGCTTATAGTATCCCGTACTTTCCCTTTACACCACATATCCAATGGAAATTAAATAGTTATTTGTGGAATCATGTATTCAAAGCCTATCTCCTCACCTAGACTGAAAGCTCATTGAGGACAGAAAGTATCCATTTATTTGTTCACCATAATTTGTTCACTTAATCCCTAGGACCTACCAGGTGGTTAATATGTGTTTGACGAATTTAGCACAAGTACCTCAATCTCTTCATTTGTAAAATGGAGGTAAAAATTCTTGATCGGAATCTTGGGTTTTTTTTCCTTGTGGAGCAGGTAAATGAATATGCATATATAAAAAGTGCTCTGGACGGTATAAAGTACTTCACACATAAAACATTGCAAATACAGATGAACACGTGTGTATCCTTCTATGGGTGCACATTCTGTGTCATGAAAGGAGCAACTAATAAAAGATCTGTGAATATAAACATTTACCTGTGTATATATATGCAACTGGTGTCTCACCGCTGTGCAGGAGGTAGAAATGAGGTATAATTGATTTTGGCATCCCACTGGACTAATGGTATGTGATAGGAGCCTCGAGCTATGAAAACAGCTGTTCTTTTGTTTACTGAAATTCCATCTAGCAAGGATTTTGTCTGTGCTAGAACTAAGTCAAAGTACGTACAAAATATTTCATATATAAGAAAATCTTAATGAAATATTTAGTTTTTAGGAGTAAATAAGAATGTATTTTTTAAAGATCATTTTTAAAAACAAAAGGCACCTACAAGTATATGTATTTCCTGAGATGAAATGGAAAACTAGTAGAATATGAGATTCTTATCCCTGAGCTACAACATAATGAGAAAGCAGAAATAATGGATGAAAAAGATACCATAATTAGAACCCAGTGTGCCTGCAGTACCTAGCTGTCTTTTGCACCACAGGCACAGTTTTCAAGTATTATTTCATTTAATCCTCAGAGTATCTCCACATGTTTAGTTTTTAAGAGTGAGGAAACAGGTTTTAGAAGATAGCATCCCTTCCAGAGTTTATTAGTGGCAAAGTGAGGCTTTGAACTCAGGCATTCGGTCATCAGACCCCTTCTGTTTCATGCCATAGGACTAATCATCTGCTTCTTTGTTCCTCACTGGCCAATGTTTTGCTTTTTAATTATAAACTAGAATAGGGTTTAGGATATGGGCATTCAATGGATTTAAAAAAAGGAAAAAATTCAAATAGAAAAATCAATCTGCTGCATGTGAATTAAACAGATAAGGCAGCAGGAGACATGCATTAGAAGGGAGTAATGTTCCAGACAGGGAATAAATGTAAATATACCCAGACACAGAAAAACTTAAGTGGAAAGTAGAGAATGATAAGCATCCCAGTGGAAGTGGATATCTGACCCAGCCTATAATTGGAGCTGAAGGAACTAAAGAGGGAAGAGGAACAGTAAGGGTAACAATTTGGTAAAGTAAATAGTGAGTTTAGAGTTAATGTGAGACAAAGGGCAACTCTCATTTTCCTTCTGATCAGGGGAGAAACACTCAAAATAATATTTTAGGGATAGTATCTTGAATGCTCTATGTGGGTGATACTAGAAAAGACGGAAGTGGATGGTAACTGGGAAACTGCTGCTGTGGTTCATGGGTGACTTGACAGATGCCTGGAATAGAGGAGGCATGGCTCTGAAAATGACAGAGACAAGTCCCAAGCGAGTTGAGAAAGGTAATTTAGGACTGATAGCAACAACACTTAATTCAACTCTACAGGCAGTTTGTGGCTCTAATTCTTTGTAGAGAAGAGTCCTCGACACATGATGATTCAATTACTATCAATTCTTCTTTACAGCTCTTACAGAAGGTAGCAGTCCAGTGAATTTATATTAGCCTGTTGGCTGCCTGGTATTCCCATATAAGGCTTCTCCAGACTTCTAATTTCACTTTGGTCCTATAGCCCTACCTTCCCGGCTTGGATGTAGGCTGGCACCACTACAACCCTCAAATGTCTTTTTAACTCCCACTTCTATTATTCAAAACAGTTAATGTGCCACAGTGATGTTTTGGTAAACAATGGACCACATATACCACAGCGGTCCTATAGGATTATAATGGAACTGAAAAATTCCTATTCCTAGTGACATCATAGCTGTCCTATACAGCACAGTGCTTACTCGTGTTTGTGGTGATGCTGATGTAAACAAACCTACTGAGCTGCCAGTTGTATAAAAATAGCACATACAATTATGTATAGTACTTAACACTTGATAATGATAAAAAACTATGTTACTAGTTCAGTTTTTACTAAACTATGGTTTGTATCATTATTTGAGAATGTACTCCTTCTACTTATTAAAAAAATTTAACTGCAAAACAGCCTCAGGCAGGTCCTTCAGGAGGTATTTCAGAAGAAGGCACTGTTGTCATGAGATGACACCCCGCAACGAACACCTTCCAGTGGGGCAAGATGTGAAGGTGCAGGACCATGATATGGATGACCCAGACCCTGTATAGGCCTAGGCTAATGTGTGTGTTGTCTTCATTTTTAACAAAAGAGTTTAAAAAGTAAAAAGCAAAAAATAGAAAAAAGCTTATAGAATAAGGATGCAAAGAGAGAAAATATTTTAGTATAGCTGTATAATCTGTTTTAAATTGTTACTATAAAATAATCAAAAGTTAAAAAATAAAAAAGTTTATAAATGAAAAAAGTTTCAGTAAGCTAAGGTTAATATTATTAAAGGGTTTCCAAAGTAAACTTAGTGTAGCCTACGTTACAGTGTTTATAAAGTCTATACTAGTGTACAGTAATGTCCTAGGTCTTCCCAGTCACTCACTAGTTACTCACCCAGAGCAACTTTCAGGCCTGCAACCTCCATTCATGCTAAGTACTCTATACAGCTGTACCATTTAAAAAATCTGAAGGCCAGCACGGTGGTTCACACCTGTAATCCCAGCACTTTGGGAGACCCAGGTGGGCGAATCACGAGGTCGGCAGTTAGAGACCAGCCTGGTCAACATGGTGAAATTCTGTTTCTACTAAAAATACAAAAATTAGTCAGGCGTGGTGGCACACGCCTGTAATCCCAGCTACTCAGAAGCTTGAGGCAGGAGAATCACTTGAACCTGGGAGGTGGAGTTTGCAGTGAGGCAAGATCACTCCACTGCACTCCAGCTTGGGTGACAGAGTGAGACTCCATCTCAAAAAAAAACACCACACAAAAAAACTTTTATACTGTATTTTTGCTGTACCTTTTTAATATTGAGATACACAAATATTTACCACTGTGTTACCATTGCCTATAGTATTCAGTGCAGTGATATGCTGTACAGGTTTATAGCCTAGTAGTGTGTAGTAGGCTAGTGTATCATCTAGCCTAGGTGTCTAGGAGGCTGTATCATCTAGGTTTGTGTAAGTATGCTCTATGATATTTGTGCATGAGGAGGTCACCTAATGACGTATTTCTCAGAATGTATCCTTGTTGGTGACACTTGACTATGTAAAGTTATCCCTCCAGAAATGTGATCAACATGCAATAATATAACTTAGGCCTTTTTTTCTGAAAAAATTAACAAAAAATAAGTGTTTTAGAAATAACTAGATAAAAATATTCAATAAAGTAAGCTAGGTAAGTAGGCCTCTGCCAAAAATAGAACCAAAAGAAGCAGGAGAGTAGGGTTTGCTTAAAACCAAACTGTTTGCTTATATGATGAATATGCGAATAGAATGTGCTAAGATTATGAGGCTAACACGGGTTTGGGGTAGGTGGCATCATGACTATAAGACTGCCCAGAAAGAGGTACTGAGTGAGAAAGTGGGTGTAGGAAGAGCAAGGAAGAGACAAAGAAAATAGGGTTTCTGCTTTTGATATGCATAAACATGTAAAATCAAACGACTATGCTTGAGAATGCTTTGGGTAATGCAGACCTGTAGCTTTGCATGCTAACTGGCCAAGGCAGTGTGGGTAAGGCATCATGTATCTGCATGCCCACTTTACTTCAACTGCCTTACTGACTGGCGCCCACTGCCTGGAAGGAAGTTCACTCTCCTGTGTTCTGTGGAAACAACGCTGGGATTGGAGTGATCCAGGCATTTCAAGTGGGGCTTAGAAAAGATAGCACCAATACAATGAATAATATATACCCAACATCACAGCTTTCAATGGCTCTCATCCAAGAATAATGAACAAATAATTCTTAGATTGGCTAATAAAAATACCTCTCCTTATAAAACGTATTGATACCAAGATGATAAGAACTACATTTTAACAACTGAGCATCCATTTGGAAAAAACCCAGTGAAAAGTATAATACATTTCTGACATCCTACCTCCATGAAATACTTGTTCCAATCCCACATGGAATAGAGCTTCCACCAAGGTACACCGGACTGCAACTAGACGTGTTTAACAGATGCAAAAATACGAAGTTATGACAAAAAGTAGGAGACTTTGGCCCTGTTAACAATTTTTGGTTTTACTGACTTTATGTTCTTGTAATCAAATTGTATATTTTCCCTAGCAAACCAATCATTTCAAAGAAGACATATTTATTGTAGGATCACTGCTTTATTGGATATAACCTGTACATTCAGGAACACTCAAGGAGTTAAAATGAGTAAAGGAAAAATGTGTTTGCCAAATAAGGTAAGGGACGAAGCAAATAAGAATATAACAGAACATTAATTTTGAGAAACTGTTCACACGTTTTTTTAAGCGGCAGAAAATTATTTACAATAGTAATAATCCCCCATTTAATTTCCTTTACACGAAGTGGGTCACAGACCATAAGAACACTGAAGATATTGCTATTGGTCTTTCTCCTGAAGGCCAACCAATGCTTTGTTGTTCAATCTCACTGCTGTTTAAATGGTAACAAAATCTACTAGACTATGCTCATAGTGTTTGCTCAGTAGTATGTAGAATTCACCAAAGCAATCTCAACTTACCTTTTACCAAGGCCTTGAATGGAAGCTCTGACAGATGTGTTACCGGAAGATTTAGATTTTAATTTCTGTTAAAAAAGCAAAACAATGAAAGGCTACAAGTAACTTAGAAAACTGTAACATGAAAACTAATATTCTTTATAACAAGAATATTTTCTAACTGACTTAAATACAAATTTTGATGGCATCATTGTTAAGTTTCTGAAATAAAAACAATGATTAAAACCTTTTAAAGGCAAAAGGGAAGTAGAACTCCCTAAGGAATTTGCAAATTACTCTACTAACTTTTAGGCTAGGAAATTGATATATTGCCATTATTAGCATGCTAAGATTTAGAGTCACTTTATAACTCTTCAGTTAATATTACAGTTCAATGATTTAATATGAAGGACCTGCTATTTAAAACTTCATTCTAGAAAAATTCAATTGAGGAAGAAAAAAACCTCAGACTCATTTTTAAAGGCTGTGAATGTACGTCATATGAACTAAAATTAAACTAACCAAGCTCCTGTGTAACTTCAGGAATATTAATTTTGATCAAATGGAATGGTATCAACCAATAAATGTTCAAGGAAAATGTAGAGCTACCTAGTCACAACCATACAGTAGTTCCTATATGGTTACATAATATCATCATCATTAGCAAGCATTTATTAAGTGTTAACTGGTATATGGTACCAAACAACATAAACCAACCACACACTAGGACCACCGCCAAGGAGAGGAAGTGAGATGGAGAAAAGGCAATTTAAACCATGCAGAGACCTGCCTTCATTTTACATAGTGGGTGAGGAAATTTAATAGAGGCAAAAATATTGTTTTACTATTTCTCTCAACTCTTATTTGATGTTAAGCAGAACTGGAAAACATTTTGGTACATGCCTGAAAAACAGTAATTTGCACAAGTCTTTCTGTTTGGGGAGCATGTTTCATGAACCATCCAAACTCAGGTTTATGACTCTAAGCTGACACACTCTGACATTTGTTGTTGGTTCCTGGGCTTTCTTGTGTGGCTCTGGGAACAGTTCAGAAATGCGACAGAATGGGAAAGCAGGGGATGAGGTGGGGAGTATATTTTCAGGGCATAATATTAACCTCTAATGACAATGTCAGCATAGACCATCTGTTTATCAATGCTTCCTAATAACTATTTTTTTCCCCAATAAATATTTTACTTAGACCTGTTGTCTCCTTTGAAGGTTAAAAAACTGGACACAATACATAACTAAAAAAGGAAAAGATCGTGCTTAAAAATTTATTTCTTCATTATTGTAAGAGCTACTTTTATTTCAAATTAGTATATCTTAAACCCAAACCAGAGAAGTATTTATCTTCTTCTGAAACACCTTAACTGAAGAGATAGAGCCTCATATACAGATATGCACCCTATAGTACTTAATAATGAATATTAATAACTAATGAAGAGCAATAAAACGATGTCATTTTTTCCTACTATTGATACTACGAATTGGCATTACTATTCCATGCTTACGCACTTACTTGGCACTTATGAAGTATTCTGTTTACAGGGTACAGGTGACCCTTGGAAAACATGGGTTTCAACTGCACAAGTCCACTTATATGTGGAATTTTTCCAATCAAACAAGAATTGGAAATTCACTATTTGTGGCATGCAAAACCCCATATACAGAGGGCCAACTTTTCACATAGGCGGGTTATATAGGGCTGACTGTGAAACTTGAGTATGTATGGATTTTGGCATATGTGGGGGTCCTGGAACCAATCCCTTGAGTATACTGAGGAATGACTGTATTTAATATTGCTACTGTGTTGACATACTATTTAACTCAGCATCAGCTTATTAATTACTTCAGGTGAATTGAAAATGTTTAATTTTGAAAAATTCAGATCTTAAAATCTATACTAGTCATTTGATTTTTAGTCTGGCTGACAAAAATATAAATGGTCCCTCTCCATATTCTTATCACTCCCATTACCTAGCTATTTTCAGTCCACTGTTTTGCTTTTATCTTCCCTATCCTTTAAAAAACAAAACAAAACAAAACAAAACCCCCGGTACTATATTTATTTCTTAATTTTTTTGTGATCTTTGTAAATTAGACTTCTATTTTGTTCTTTCTTTTAAATCTAACAGACATGCTTGACACACACCATACTGATAAAAATTAAAATACATAAATTCTCATATACTGCCCAGTATGAAAAATGTAAGTGATAAAGGCACTTTGGAAAACAATTTGGCAATGGGTAGAAAAGTTGAAGATGAGCACACCTTATGACCTAGGAATTCCTGTTCTAGCTTTATACATCCCAGAGAAACTTCTGTACATGGGTAAAAAAAGCCATGCAAAGATATTTAATAAAGGAGTAATCAACGGTTTTCCCTGTGTACATGTTAAAATTTATATGCCTTTTCTCCAATTATTTGTAATAGCAAACAACTGGGCACAATCTAAGTGTCCATCAGCAGGGAAGTAGATAAGTAAACTGTGGCAGAGTTATACAATGGACTACTATACATAGTTAAAATTGTTTATGGTTATATACAAGTGTAATAAAAGTATAAATGTGTGGATGGAAAGGATAAATGGTTATCTGTGGGAAGGAAGGCAACAGAGTAGGATTTAGAGAGGTCTTAACGATATCTCTAATTTGTACTTCTTTAAAAAAAAGGTCCAGAGAAGCAAATATGGCAAATACTAAGATATGTTTAATATGGGTGGCTGTCATGGTATGTTCAGCATATAGGTTGCTGTTACATTATCCTGTGAACTTTTTATACAGCTAAAATAGACACACAAACATTTAAAAAATTTAAATATTAACAATTTATTGCTTCATGGGATAAGAGCAACGGCATTTCATCTGAGGTGCTAAGCACATTCCTATAATGAAAGCTGTTTTTGGCCTTTTAGAAAAGTGTTCTTAGAGGCCACAAATAAATACAAGTGACCAGCTGGATGTGTGAGTTGACTTCTATGCTAAAAACTTTTCTAATTTTTTATTCTTACTGATAAATGCACAGGAAAACACATACTGAGAGTGTCTAATATTTTACTGCTTCTACAGCTCTTTAAGTGTAACAATTTCTTTAACTAATTCTGTTTTTCAGAATTCAAAAGATAATGGGTAGCTATTTTCATCTTCTTTAAGTTATTCTAAACATGTCTTGAAATAATGAAAGAATTACTTACAGATGGTTTTTTGTCCAAGTTGGGTTCTTCAAATATTTCATTAATCAGACTATCAAGCTCATCTTCTCTTTTAAATGTTTCCGTTGATCTGAAAATATACACACAGAAAACCCACCAGAAGTTTATTGGCAGATAAAGCTAGTATCAGAAGAGTTTTGTTTTAAGTCCATTATTAGAGTTGATAATAGAAAGATAAAAGTGATTACAATTTTTTTCTCTGTGGATATAGTCCAAGTTTGTTGAGACAGATATACTTTATCAGGTACAAATTCACATATGTTCTATACTATTATATACTTAAAATGAGACATTTAAAACTATATACATTATATTCAAGAGAAGTTGGGTATGTACTTAACTAAATTATATCAAGCACATATTTAGAGAATACAATATATGCACAATAATAAGCAGAACCAGATATTACAAATAATGGTAATTTTAACCAGTCGTTCTGACTTTGTTTCTAAAGTTTCCATTGTAAGTCAACCGTATCTCTTTACTAGAGGAGCCGAAGGTCATGTAATCAAATGACCCCTCCCCCTGCCCAAAAAAAGGTGCTATTTGTTAGACAGAATATCTCAACTACTCAACTACCTCTACCTTCTGCAGGCAAAGCCATAATGGATTATTAATATAAACCACTACTGCACAGAACTTCTACTTAATAGCTGATGCTAAATAGCTAATAGCTAAAATAGTATTTACTGAGTACTTACTGTATCTCAGGGCATTGTCCTTAGTCTTTACACGAGTATATATTTAACCCCACTTTTTTAGATGAAGAAAAGGCACCAAGAGATTCAGAAATCTGTTCAAGGTCATATAAATAGTGGGAAGAATGGCTTGAAATTGAATCTAGGGCAGTCCATGCACTTAATACTATATAAGACTAACTTTCTTTAGCATTTATATGAAGTAGATGCTGTACATCAACTTCATAACTTCATTATTCATTTTAGAAGACAAAGTTTTTTAGTCAAACTCTCTAATTTCAGAAATGTATTTATTCTGACAATTCTTAACATGGCCCGTCTTTGTTACATCTTGGAGTAAAATAATTTAACCTGATTTAAGAAAAGCAAGAGACTGCTGTCTACTACCTAATGGTTGATTCTATCTCCAGGCTTAGCTTTTTCAGTTGTAACTTTCACCCTCAATGTCTTTCACTGTATGCTGGTTTCTTCCCTTGACTTAGGAGTATTCTCAAGGCTTTCCTCTTCAAAGAGACGTTTCAAAAAACGCCTCTCTTGAAGCTTCTACCTTTTCTTATTCACTACTGAAGAACAGTCTATATCCATGATTTCTACTTCCTTACAAGTAGATTAGATTTAAGCATCAGTTGGCTGCTAATCCTAGAACGGGGTTTCTGAACCTTGGAACTATTGACATTCTGGGTCAGATAATTCTCTGGGGTATGTACGTGGGGGCAAGAGACTTGTATATTGCAGGATGTTTTACAGCATCCCTGGCCTCTACCCACTAGATGCTATTAAACAATAGCACACCCTTCCTCAGGTGTGACAATAAAAAATGTCTCTAGACATTGCCAAATGCCTTTGGGTGACAAAATCACCACCAGTCTAGGGCTACTACTGACGTACTTTAAATTATTTAATCTCTCTGAACCTCAAATATTTTATCTATAAAAATGATATCTAGATGACTATTTAAAATTGCTTTCAGGTATCATATTCTATTTCTGGCCTCTAATCCCTTAACTATAGTGAAATTCTTCTCTCAAAGGTTTCCACTGCCCAAATCACTATAGTATAATGGCTGTTCTCAGTTCCAATCCTCTTTAACCTTTCAGAAACATCTGACACTGTTGGGTACCAATTCCTTATATTTCTTTTTTGATAGGAGGTTGCTAAGATGTCCTCTTAAAATTCTCTCCTTTGGCTTTCAGGACATACTCTCTGGATTCTCCTCCCTCATGCAATTTCACAACTTCAAGAGTCAGATGCATTCAAACTCCACCAACCTAATCAGTACTGCTATAGATCCAAATTGCCAGCTTACATAAGATTCTGGTCTGTTCTTAGATCATGAAATTTCACAATGCCTACACTTGCCTATGCTTTGCTATAGTAGTAAGTCAACATTTCACTGAGAACTCATAATTTTAAAGCATTGTGTAAGACTTTTTTTGGTCTTTTGATGTGATAATAATCTTAATCAAATGTTAATCAAATAATCTTAATCAAATCTTAATCTTAAGCTTTTACTGGTTCCCTCTCTGTTTCTGACATTCTAATTTTTTAAAGATAGTTTCTGCTGAAAATAAAAGGTATATTCAAAATAAAAGAAACAAAAATAGTTGAACCTATAATTACGTGTGAGGTATGTATGAGAGGTATATACAGAAAACTTCAATCTAAATCTAGGTCTACCACTTCCTTGTGACTTAGCAATATGACTTTAGGCAAGTAACTAAGCATTGATTTAGTCAGTGAAATGGGGATAACTGTATTCATCTCATCGGGTTGTGAAGATTAAATGAAATGACATATATAAAGCACTTAGCATGCAGAAAGAATTCAGTAAATGTTGGCTATTATTATTATAGCTGTCATCTAGAAAGCTATATTATCTTTAAATATTCCCATCTGCATCATCCTGACCCACTTATTCCTATTGCAGTTCTTCTCAACCTATATCAGTCTTAAAAAAAAAACCAACCAATCACATATGTCTCTTTATCATTTTGAACACTTATCAAATTGCATGTTTTGACCTCTTACATTAGCAGTTGTTCCTGGTATCCAGATGTAGCATGGTCATTTACAGTATTATTTGCAAAGCTATCATTTTAAGAGGTAATATCAGTATTTTAACTTTTATTTGAAATACAGGTTACACTGCTATACAATTAGTAGGTAATCTCCTGTTAATAAATTCAAACATAAATTCCTTCCTAGCTTTTAAGTATCAATTTTGGCTCAAGGAAAAATTTTTAATATATTACATTATAAACCAGATTGGGACTATATTTGGCATAAGGTTTAGGCAATTTGTTGCTGTTTTTGTATATTTACAACTACATTGCCAGATGAAAAGTTTTCTCATAAATGACAACAGTACTGGCTCACTACAGCTTTTATGTTATTTAGTACTAAAAAATCTAATGTATCAAGGTGGGCTGCTGAGGAACATTATGGATGAATTTCAGTAGAGCAAGAGCAGGCATGACACAACCCATGGTTAGAGAAGACCCGCATAGATAGCCCCTTCCATTTTGAGCAGTTTGCTTCAATACATCCTGCCCCTCTGCATGCTGGTTCTCCTAAGATGAACGGCTCTGAAAAGCTCCTTGATAGATTCGCTCTAACCCCTAGAAGGACAGATGACGAGTACTAAATAAATTGCAAAGTAACACTACTGTGGGAGAGGGATGGTGGATGTGCTAATAGGTACATAAGGCATTCCAGTATACAAGATAATAAAAGTTAATGAGAGTGATATTTACAACATCCACCCCAATGAGTGTTAGCCTATTCATAGTAATTATAGTTGTCTCTAGGTTTTCTTTTAAAATGCTGCTCAGAACTCAACTAATTTTTAGAAATTTTGTTTATGTACTCCTTTAGAATTTTTTCAATGCTTTTATCTTCGGAGAGTGAATTTTTATAAATAAATGTCACTGGAGGTAAGCCTGTGAATTAGTAATGGAGTTGGCTAGTACTTTGGGAAATCACACATACACTCATCATAAAACGAACACCAAACCAAAGATGCAGCCAGAAAATTAATAAAGATGACGTTCTTAGATTGATCCAAAGTTGCTTCTGTGTAATTTCACAAGCGTTTTCTAGGCAAGAGGCAATTTCCAAAAGATTCTAGCAAGAGTTACTGCAGTCTCTCATGCCATCACTGTGAAGGACAATACTCTGATGTGAACATTTTCTTTTGTGAGGGGTTGTGGGGGAAATGAGGAAGTGAAGGAAGTCCTATGATTTAATAATTACATGGAGAAAAACGACTGGTAAATTTGAAAGGTAGTTTTTAGATCAAAAACCAAAATAAGAAATGTCCCTAAATTTCCCTATGTATGCATGGGACCCTTAACTAGAGGGCCATGGAGAGAAGAAAGGTAGTTGGTTTAATGTTCATAATAGTTAATCCTTTTGTCATGAATCTAATCTCATCTGAACTCCCTGAGTTAAAAAATAAAATAAACTGAGTCAGCTGGGATGGCTCACACCTACAATTCTAGCACTAAGGGAGGCAGAGGTTCGAGGACAGCTCGAGGTCAGGAGTTCTCGACCAGCTTGGTCAACACAGTGAGACTGTCTCTACAAAAAATACAAAAATTAGCCTGGTGTGTAATCCCAGCTACTAGGGAGGCTGAGGTGGGAGGACTGTGAAGGATTGTTTGAACCACGGAGTTGGAGGCTGCAGTGAGCTATGATGGCGCCAGTGCACTCCAGCCTGGGGGACAGAGCGAGTCTCCATCTCAAAAAAACAAAACACAAAACTCAGCTAAAGAGACTAGAAGGGAATTGTTTTCTCCTTTCTTAACTGGCCCCCCGGATCGGCCTGGGGAGTGGGGTCTGAGGTAACAGGATGAGGTTGTCTAACAGGGCACCTCACAGGGAGATGAGAACTGCTGGGCCACACAGAGGCAAAATCTAGGCGAGGTCAGCACAGCCCTTTCGGGGCAAAGAAGGGGGCGACATCATGGTCCCCGGCTAGAACCTCCTAGGCTCTGGCAGGCAGAAATAAACCGGTGACCGACACAGGCCGACGGCTCGGCGCGAGGGGCGTGGCCAGCTCTCCCGGGCTTGGCGGGGGCGGAGTCTGCACTGAGGGAAAAGATGCCAGAATCCACTTATGTGTTGAGGGGTGAGCTGCCACGGAGGGTGGGACACTAAGGGTCTGATCCCTGACACGAGGAGGGGCTGGAGGTCGCGGGCAGGTTTCTTTTGAGTTGGGCGGCGGAGGGGCGGCTTTAGGGCCTGGAGTAGGGCTTTACTAGAACAGTCCTCCCCTCCCGCCCCGTTAACCTGAGATTCTCTTTCGCCTCGGCTTGGTTCCGGTCGCTGCTGTGGGTGCCGCCGTGGCAACCTTTGGGTTGCTCGACCACGCCCCGTCTTAGAAGGTCGGGTGTGCAAAACTTGGACTCCACTTCATCTAAGAGGTCGTCCAGGTCCTCCGCCATCTTGAATCGCCTGACCTTTTCCCCCTCGAGTCGCCGAAGCTCCGGTGGTTTCCAGGGGTAACGCGAGGACCTGGCTCACGCCCGTCTCACTAGGTGTCCCCGCGCATGCGCACCGCGTCCCGTGGCAACCCCAGGCGCTCACCAGAGCTCGCGGCAAAGAATGCGGTGGGTTTGTGAGGGGCGGGCGCCCGTGGGGACGGAGGCTGTAGCTCTCCCTGCCCTGTGTCTGTGTGACTCGCGATGCTTTGCTTTTCTTCCTTCCAGTTTGTCCGGCGTGCTTCGTCCCGTCTCCCCCTCCCGGGCCCACATTGTAACCACAAGCACACTGTCGCGCCCCTTCATTCTCCCCTTTCCCGTTTGGGTCCCTGTCGTGTTCCATCCGTTTCTAAATTCCTTTAATCTGCGGAAGTTTGGAGGAGAACACTCTAAAAACACAAAGTAGGTGTTCACGACGGCAAAACGCTAACGTTTCCGTAGTCGGCAGGATTCGAACCTGCGCGGGGAGACCCCAATGGATTTCTAGTCCATCGCCTTAACCACTCGGCCACGACTACTGGCGATGTAAGTTTTCGCGGTGAGAATGCATCTAGAGTCTGCACAAGCGTCTGTTGCAGTAACAGGCACGTTTTGATCTGGAGGAAGGCATTGCTGAGCTGTTTTGTTAAGAGCATATTTGAATGTAACGGTGCCCATCATTTTACTGTTTGTAAAACTCTTAGGACATATTCCGTATAACTCTTTGCATCCCATCAGAAAAACGTAATTCTGGTTAAATCTGAGAGAGAGAGAGAGAGAGAGAGATCCCAAAGTATTGCATACCCACCAGCTTGCACAATGTTGGAGCCATTTCCAGCTGACCAGCCTCCCGGCTTCCTTGTGGGGCTGCCTGTTCCACCCCTTCGCCTTTCTCTTTGACAAACGGCCCCCAGGCCTTTTTTTCCACCCATTTTACATTAAAAGCTATTACCCGCCGATTTAAATTCTCTCTGCAAGGTCGGACAGTCCCACGTGCCATGAAAGCACTACTTTGAAAAATGTAAAGCGTGATACAAGCCTAAGGTATAGTTAATGGCATTCTTATAAATATTGTCCACAGTTTAACCTGTGTTTTGGGTATTTCTAAAGTGGGATAGCAAAGAGGCTGGCATCCCTGGAAACTCTGGAGATCGTTTAATCCAGATGATTTGCTTGTTCAAAGTATCTTAATATCCCTGAAAAGCGACATGTAGTGTTGTGCTGGAGCGAATGGTACCTGCTCACTGCTACCCACCGTTAAATTTTCAAGGATTTTGGGAGGTGGTTGTTAAATGCAACTATTATTAAAAATTAAATTATGCAAACTTGCAATTCCATTATATTAAAAGCAAATATGATGCTCAAAATTCACCACATTGTAGTTATTCCACTACATTTTACTATTCTTTATAAATATCACTGAAATTGTTTACATCTGAAAGACTTTCTCTTTTTAACTTTCCATTCAGTGATGTCACGGGAAGCTTGAAATGAGCCATGGTGGGTGTTGTTTACAGGAGGGAAATTGCAAATGTGACAAAGCAGGGCTTTTTCTCCCCAGGAGATGGTTGTCATTTAGTAGCACACTCCACGTTACCGTCAGACCAACTTGGAATATTCCCAGCAATGCAATATCCTTTTTCTGCAGGGCTGCTCTAGTTATTCTTTCTGAATCTTTGTTTTAGCTGTTATAATCCTGGCATATATATACAATACACACACATGTATATGTGTGTATATACATGTGTGTATATATACATGTATATACACGTGTATATATACATATATATACATGTGTGTGTATATATACATATATACACATACATACACACATATATGTGTATATATATACACAAACATACATACATATAAATGTGCATGTAAACATATATATATATTTACACACACAGAGGAAATCAGCATTTTTATTCAAAATACTTAAGAATATTGAGCATCACTGCCAGGATGCTTAAGAAGTATCCTAGGGGCCTCCTGACATACATTACCCTTGTAGTCAGAATAGAGAACTCCAGAGGTTGGGGAGACAATGTTGGGGCAAGCAGAGGACTTGGGCACTAGTTATTTGTCTAGAATCCTTGCATATCCTATGGTTTCCCACTCATTAATGTTTTAGTTTTTTTTTTCAAGTTGCCTTGCTGGGCAATTTTACCCAGAACCAGCCTCCAGCAGAAAAATAACAAAAAGCTGCTTAAAAAAGTGGCCCTTGCAATGTGGTTCCAGGGAAAGTCATGCATAGTTGCCTTCTAGTTTGACAGGCTTACATTAATGGTTTGATTTTGCTCTCGAGAAGATGAAATCTGAGGGGATATGTACCAGTGTTGAAAGTATCTATTAGTGTGTAGAAGATTTGCAATGAGAGAAGGTGAAAAGATAAAAGAGGAAACGTTTCTGGTTTTGTGTTTTGTTTTTGTGAATATTAGAAAAAAATCAGCGTGTTCCCTCCTTCCCTCACTCCTACTCCCATTTTTCTGGTCTTTTGATTGGATAATTTATTCCATTTACATTTTAAAATTCTATTTATTTTATTTTTATTTACTTTTATTTCAGTAGCTTTTGGGGTACAAGCAGTTTTTGGTTACATGGATGAATATATAGTGGTTAAGTCTGAGATTTTAGTGCACCTGTCACCTGAGTAGTGTACATTATACCCAATAGTGTCTTTTTTTTTTTTTTTTTTTTTTTTGAGACAGAGTTTCACTCTTGTTGCCCAGGATGGAGTGCAATGGTGCTATCTCAGCTCATTGCAACCTCTGCTTCCCGGATTCAAGAGATTCTCCTGCCTCAGCCTCCCAAGTAGCTGAGATTACAGGCGTGTGCCACCATGCCCGGCTAATTTTGTATTTTTAGAAGAGATGGAGTTTCTCCATGTTGGTCAGGGTGGTCTCCAACTCCCGACCTCAGGTGATCTGCCCACCTCGGCCTCCCAAAGTGATGGGATTACAGGCTTGAGCCACCATGCCCCGCCTCCAATAGGTAGTGTTCTTATCTGTTATCCACTTCCCACCCGCCTCTCTTCTGAGTTTCCAATGTTCATTATACCACTCTATATGCCTTTGTGTACCCATAGTTTAACTCCTACTTTCAAGTGAGAGCATATAGGATTTGGTTTTCCATTCCTGCCCACTCCCATTTTAATAAAATACCGTGTATGAATCATCCAGAGTTTGGTATTTTGAGAATTTCATTTAGGGCTCATTCAACTCTTTGGTGGGTCTCCTGACTTGAGTTATGTTATCTTTCTGGTTTGCCACTGAGAGTAAAAAATCAAGTTCAGAGTCTACAAGGATAAATGCCACATGTCACATTAGAGTGGCAATATGTGTATGGCTGTGTGATAAACTGTAAAATTATAGTGCACTATTAAAATCTCCAGATGTCAGAAAGAAAGTTATACAGTTATGAAATTCAACAATGCATGTGGATGCATAAGATGAAGGTAAACATGGCTTTAGCAGGTTCTACATTCATGCAAATCACATTAGATAATTTTTTAAAACCCTGTTATATATTCCTTTGGTATAACTTTCTGTTTCCCAAACAATATTCTTTCTTTCTCTGTAGTTGTTAATGTGTGTAGACAATGTCATGAATCCTTGTCCCCTGTCTTTCCCAGTCATGGAAAGCATGCTGAATGTCAGATATTTCATAAACAATATGCAAGTACCTCCAAGTGATACAACTGTTAACATGGAAAAGGGGACGGGGTGTGGTGGCTCACGCCTATAATCCCAGCACTTTGGGAGGCTGAGGTAGGTGGATCGCTTGAACCCAGGAGTTTGAGACCAGCCCAGGTGACATGGCGAAACCCTGTCTCTAACCAAAAAAAATTATGAAAATTAGCCAGGGATGGCGGTGCTGCACCTGTAGTCCCAGGTACCTGGTAGACTGAGGTGGGAGGATGGCTCAAGTTCAGGAGGTGGAAGCTGCAGTGAGCTGAGATACTGCCACTACACTTTAGCCTGGGCAGCAGAATGAGACTGTCTTCAAAAGAAAACAAAGCAAAAAACATGGTAAAAGGGCGTATCATGTATTATTACATTCACTTAGTATTCCAAGGAAGTATTTTAGGTAAAAAGTGTCCAAGTTAGGAAATCGAAGTGCCATTGGCTTTCCCAAGTATCTGAAGAACTCTGAGCCTGGTTTCTTGCTAGCACCATTGTAATGAGTTAGAGGTGGCAAGGCAGGCTGTCCCACACAGCCTCAGGCCAGCTGCTTCAGTTACAAGTATCCTGTAATCCTCCTAGCTACTCACATAATGAATTGCAAAGCTTCTTCGAATTCCCCTGTAGTTTGGTTTAGTTTTCCCTGCCCTGCTTCTCTCCCCGCATGCTGCAGGCCTTTTAAACAAATACCCACTGCTGGGCATGAGGGCAGGCATCCTCCTGGGCCAGTTGCAAGCCTCTTAGCAGCTGATGCCATGGGAGAAAAGGAGTAGCACTGAAGCAGCTCCAGTTCTTTTAAGTGGTCCCTGAATTAGGCCTCGATGTCATGTAGGTAAATTCAGCCCAGAACATGCAGAATCTTTATTGGAATTTGTACATTCATCTCTCACAGCTGTGGAGAGTTTAGACTAATCACAACTCTCACTGGGATAATATTATCCTGGTAATTTGAAAAAGGATCAGGAGCCTGCAGGCTTGGAACATCTTGAGAAAGCTCTGGCTCTGAAATACATCATCACATGTGGGGGACGCCACTTGCGGCATCATCGCAGAGCGCTGAAGAATGCTGAAATCAAGTATTTCTCTGGCGTGATTTCAAATGGCTTGAGAAATCTGAGAACTTCTTTTTTTTTTTAACTGCAAAACAGATTCTTTCGTCTTCCATCAACCCCGTTGCTGTCAATATGTCCAGCATTAGGTGCCAGAAATGAGCATAGCCTCTTAATGATAACAATGCCAAGGTTAACACAGCCGCCAGGGGCTCTCTCAAGAATCTGTTAGGGTGTATTTTGATCCACAGACACGTTCTGAAGGCGTGCACCTCCTTAGCTTTTCTAGTCTCAGTACATTTCTCTTCAGCAGCCTGGATAAAACCTGTCACTTTTTGCCAGAACTTCTCATGCTTTGGGGCCCCTCAGACACCATTTTTCATTGACCCCATGTGTCCATATGGTAGGGCTAGCTAGGTTCAGAGTTGGTATTTGGGAACCAGCTTCTGACAGCACGGAGGCCTGGTATACTGCAGTCATTTGTTCAAA